TTTTTGGATGCAGTTTGTTTGAATTATCAAAAGAATATACTATAGATATGCGATCCTGGTTAATATCAAAAGGACAATGGAAATGCGATTATCATAAGGATTTTATTGATTACATAACAAACAATATTTTCATAGCCTTAAGTAATGTGAAAAGAGTAACAGATTGCACAATAACACAATCATATATAATTAATCACATGAAATATCAACTCAACGTTCGAGAGAAGAGAGAGAGAGAAGAGAGAGGAGAGAGAGAGAGAGAAGAGAGAGAGAGAGGAGAGAGAAGAGAGAGAGAGAGAGAGAGAAGGAGAGAGAGCGACAGAGAGAGAGAAGAGGAGAGAGAAGAGAGAGAGAGAGAGAGAAAAGAGAGAGAGAGAGAGAGAAGAGAGAGGAGAGAGAGGAGAGAGAGAGAGAAGGAGAGAGAGAGAGAAGGAAGAGGAGAGAGAGAGAGAGAGAGAGAGAGAGAGAGAGATGAAAGGCGACTGGGGGAGCAAGCAGGAAGGTTGCAGCAGTCAACTAAGCATGCAACACTGGATGAGCGAGGTGTGCACTGACGGTGAAATCATGATACTGTGATGTGCGGATTATGTGTGATTAAAGAGTTAATCGTCATAATAAAGGATGCCGGGGAGAGGAGAGGCGGCGGGACGGGAGCTGGAGAGGGAGAGGGTCGAGAGAGGAGAAGGAAGAGGAGGAGGAACTCGTCCAGCCCTCGTTATGTTGCTCTTGACAGTTAGTGACGTCATTAGATGCTTCGGAGGAATGTCCCTTTTGTATGTTTGTTGTCTATTTTTTCCCCTTTTATGTTGGAGAGAAGGAAAAAAATACGTTGAGGTCATTTAAAGTTTTTATTTTGCCAGGAATGGATATCAAACAGCAATGAAAGTTGACAGAAATCTAAATAAATCTTCAAAAAAAAAAGGATGAGCCGATTCTTATCGCCGACAAGTGTGTGGCCGAGTGTGAAAGTATCATCATAAAGAGTCCATAAGCAGAGTGTCCTCGACGAGAACAAACGAGAAGGAAAATTACTAGTCATAAACAATCATTCTCCAGTTCTGAGACACGGAGAGAAAGTGAGACGCTGAAAGGATGTTTCGAATTGATCTCCCCAAGTCGATGTGCGGAAGGAGGGAAGAGGAAAAGGAGTGATAAAGATCCATTTCAACATCCTGGGACAAGAAGAGGGAGGAGGAACTTGATGAGGTGTTTCTAATATATTTCACCCATTCCGTGGCTCTCGGGCCTGGGGGAATAGGATGAGGCTGTAATAACATTCATTCACTATTTCACCGAAGGGGTGTGTGAATTGGAGGCTGGGGGGGGGGGGGAGGTTGGCGTTTCAAAATGGTTATAGTAGGTATTCACTACAGAATCAAGTAAGGTAGTAGCGAACAAATGCTGGTAACAAATAACCATTTTCAAATTTAGCGCTCAAAATCTCTTCCTGTGAATATTCTCTGAATCGGTTGTTGAAATTATCCGTCAGAATTCCCCTCAAAGGGCTTTTAAAGCGGGTGACACAAACATCCTCTTCAAAGCTCAGCCCAAGGAGTTTGCGAAGTGGTTGTAACAAACATCCACTTCAGAATTCAGCTCACCGGTCCCTGAAGTTGCTGTAGTACACAGCCACCTCAAAATTCAGCTCACATAGAGGCGACTGCAACACGCATCCACTCGGGAATCCAGCTCGCGTTGAGGTGGTTGTAACAAACATCCACCTCTGAATTCAACTCCCTGGTCTGCGAAGTGGTTGTAACAAACATCCACTTCATTTTTTACTTGAAGAGGTCTTCGGATTTGATGTAATGACTAAGGAACTGGTGATCATCATTTAAGCAAGCAAGTTCTGTCGGAGTGGGCGAGATCACGTGGGCGTTTTGAATGGTTTAAATGTATGAATAATGAATTACTGTGGCACTGTGCAGAAGACAAGGGCGGATATTCAGAGGACATCGACTGATACATAATAAGCCTTTTTAACAGAAAATTTAGGTGCCCATAAGTGTGCTGTCTTTAAATATTTGGACTCATGATACACAAGAATACCATTAAACTTCCTTTGAACTAACTGGTACCAAGACCTGCATTCACTAACATAAAACATGTCCATGCTCTGAAGCGGTAGCAATAACTTCAGAACACAGAGCATGAAACTGTAAAAAGCATCTCAATTCTTTGGAAATTCCGAGAGTATTTTGAGAGACATTCGGGCATTGTAAACATGATGGAGATATGTCGAGGTAGCTGCCGTAACACGCAGGCGATGGAGACATGCTGGCCCTCCGCTGAGAAGTCAGACGACGGAGTTTTGCGAAAGCACTGAAGAGCCACTTGTGCATTGCAGATACTTGGGTCGCGAGGTCGCTTGCGAGGAATCAGGATTCAGATGTTTGCCTCTTCCTGGACGATTCCTCAAACTGAGGTGATATCCTCGCCCCAGATCCAATGTGTGGGGCAGCCTGAGGAAAAGAAAAAGCAATGTAAATGCCAATGAAGAATAACATAGTCGTTAATAACATTATAACATGTCAACTCTTAACGGGATTTAAGTAGCAAATGCAATACTCTCTTCGGGATTAGTTAAAGTGAAACACCAGAAGCCCAGGGAGCCCATGTTAACACCGCCGACGTAATGCGTCCTCAGTGTGTACCCCTTCCTCAAATGGACATTCTGTGACTCACCCGCAAGGAAAAACAAGAGGCGCCTAAGCTATTCCGCCCCAGCCCCTCCCTTCCCCTCCCCTCTCCATATTCCCGCATAATATTCCAGGATCCGTCCCTCACAATGGTCTGGAATGGCCCTTCTGAGCTCGGAGGTTTTTGCCAGCGAGTCGTTATCATTAAGAGGATGACAGATCTTACTGGCACGAACAACAGCTGGCGCGCCGCACGGCCTCCGCTCCGGGTATAAACACCGAGGCTTCACCTCAGCTCCTGGAAGCCTAGTGAAAACATCTCGCAAACGAACGGAAGGTAAGTGATGCCAGGTGCACGGCCTTCGCAGAGGCTGCTTCTCCAACTCCATATTGCTGACGATCGATTTCCGCCACAGAGCATCACATTCGAAAAGTGTTCTGCAACAAAACGCAACGCAGACGCGGTACCACAAATCAGTCTCTACTTCAACTCTGCTCCCTTCCCCTCTCCCTCCTCTTTCACTATACTTTAATAATCCTCCCCACACTCTCAAAAAAGATTCCCCTCAGCTTAACTCCACCCTCCAGGCCTCCTTCACCCTCCCCCCCCTCGCTTTCCCCTCTCAACCTCCTTTCCCCTCTCCCTCCTGCCTCCTACTACGGCTCCCACAGGATTCCCCTTTTCCCTCACCCCCAGCATCATTACAGACTAACGACGCTCATTATCACAGCTGTGTCAAACCTCTCTTTATAAACTTGCCTTGGAATGCCGTACGAAAGATGGACATGCTACAAGAGGGGACTGGAAGGAGCTGTAGGCTGGGAGGTGGGGGGGGGGGGGGGGCTGCAAGTAAGGTGTATCGTAACAGGAGCAGTATTAAGAAGTGGGTAGCAACAAGTGGAACATTAGGAGTATCGTGTTAAGTCGTAGAGAGTAGAAGTTGTAGGAGTAATAACTGATTGCTATGTTTGGGCTGATTGTTGTTGTGGAGCACTGGGTATGGAAGTAACATTGGTAGTAATGGGGTGAATATTAATAAACAGATAGAGAAAAGGCCGCGACTGATGACAATAATGGCGGTGGTGTTGGTGGTGATAGTGATGATGGTGATGGTGGTGGTAGTGGTGGTGGTGTGGTGTGGTGGTGGTGGTGATGACGATGACGATGACGATGACGATGACGATGATGATGATGATGATGACGACGGAGGGAGAGGCGGAGGAAAAAGCAGAGGAAGAGGGGGAGTAAGAGGAGAGCAAAGAAGACAGAAGCGGAATAACCCACAAGCAAACAAAAGGCAGAGGGAAAACATAGGTGCGATCACGAGAGAACAATAGCCCTCCCCTTGTTCTTGCCTCGCACAGAACAGAGGAACCAAAAGCAACAAGTACTAGTAGACCATTGTAGTAGAACAGTGAGAAAAGGAGAGAAAAGAAAGTAGTCTTATACCTTCCGTTTTCGAGCATGTCCAAAAATTTCGAATGTTTTCTTTCTTTCTCGTTCTCGCTCTCTTGTTGTGTCCGTCCGTCTGTCTGTCTGTCTGTCTATCTGTCTCTGTCTCCCTTCCTATTTGTACCCATACACCTCTTTATCCACTTCCGTCTACATTCGCCTTTTCCTATCCCTCTCCCCCTCTTTTTTCCATCTACTTCTTTCTCTGTCTCCCTTCTTCCTCTCTTTCCTCCCTCTCTCCCCCTCCTCATACGCAACAGTCACAGCAGTATAGAACAATCACCGTGTAATAAAGGCTGAAGAAGCATTCCAGCGCCAGAAAAGGAAAGAAGCTCAGGAAGTTCATTATAAACACAACTCTTTCCCTTCCGAGAGATCTCGAGTTCCCTTCCATTCTCGGTACGACATGTGCGTCTACGTCTCCCCTACGGGAAGGGGGGAGCAGGAGGAGGAGGGGGGAATAACGACCTAATTAGCTATAAACGACCATGATGTACGCCGGAGACGTGAAAATGCAAATATGAGATATGAAAATGAAGATGGGTGTCATAAAGAAGACAGATGGCCTCGCCTGGGCCATTTCCCTAAGCCGGCGGCCCACTCGTCATCTCTACGGCCGTCCGTCCATCAGCCCACGACGCCGCCACCGCCGCCAGGAGGAGGAAAAGGAGCAGGGGTTGGGGGGGCGAGGAAAGGGAGAAAAGACGGCAGGGAAGGGGAGCAGAGGGAGGGATAGGAGGGAGGAGAGGACGGATGGAGGAGGAGGAAAAGGAGCAGGAAGGGGGGAGGGGGGACGAGGAAAATGAGAAAAGACGGCAAAGGAAGAGAGGGTGGAGAAAAGGGCGAGAGGGAGGGGTAGGAGGAAGGAAAGGACGGAGGGAGGAGGAGGAAAATGAGCAGGAGGGG